AGATTAAAATTATAATATTTGGTTATTCCGTCAAATCACAATGTATTTAATAAGATAATTAAAATATCATTCTGTGCTCCATATCGAATAATCGATTTACAATTGGAACAGTTACAACATGTTTCGGTTTTATTAAACCATCATCAGGTGTAAAATTATATTAAATTTAAAACTCAATTACAATTTTTTTTACAATTTTTCGTAGTGTAGTTTTTCGGAGGTCGTGTCCAGATATTTTCATATAATGGATCAACTTTATTGTTTGAAGTGATGCTTTTGAGGTTTACATCGGTCAGAGATGAAATAGTAGACAACACAGTTGTGTCTGGAGGTGATCCAGAAGTATTACCGTATCCGATCAAGCATCACTTCAAACAATAAAGTTGATCCATTATATGAAAATATCTGGACACGACCTCCAAAACTACACTACGAAAAAATTGTAAAAAATTGTAATTGAGTTTTAAATTTAATATAATTTTACACCTGATGATGGTTTAATAAAACCGAAACATGTTGTAACTGTTCCAATTGTAAATCGATTATTCGATATGGAACAAAGAATGATATTTTAATTATCTTATTTTAAATACATTGTGATTTGACGGAATAACCAAATAATTTAATTTTAATAAAATAAAAGAATGTTTTAATATAGTTCTGTCATTATTTCTGGACGTTGGGGAGGAAATCCTCAGTGCAATGACGTTGCAGTAGGGTCTTGAACCTGACAATGGCCAAGTTGATTCGAAACATGTCATTCAAGTGAACAGACAGTGAACAAAGTATGTAAAAAGTGACATACAGAAAAACCAAGAATTCAGCATAACACACCAGGATGGTACATTACAGACTTGCATGTACCGGAAGAAGATGTAACTATAAAATTTGTAAAAGAACCAAGTCATAGCACTGTAACAATTGAATATCCTTACCAGAATTTTAGTAAACTACTTTAGTTTTGAGATTCAGGCTCTGATGGTAGCTTGTATGAAGATCGCTGTCTTCTGGGATGTTGCGCCATAGAAATTAACTGATATTTCAGAAATGCTTGCTACTGAAATGTTAGTTAGTTTCTATGAGACTGAGATGGCAGCGTCTTAGAAAGAAGAAGGGAAATAAGAATATTGTCTTCAATTTTGTAACATTATATAAATAAAATTAACAGTAGTAGCTGTAATGAGGTGTAATTTATGAATTTTTAATCCAAGTCTTTTAATGTGTGAAGGGTGAAATGTTTTTTTTTAACTTTTCAGATTTAATCCACTGTACAAATGAGCCAAATGTGTCGATTCCACAATTGGCTAATCTACTTATTGAGAGATCACAGAACACAAACTGGGTGGTTGTCTTCAAAGCTCTAATTACAGTTCATCATATGCTGTGTTATGGTAATGAAGTAAGTATTTATTGCTGCATACGTAGATTTTAGGTGTGGTTGAAATTTGCGTTAAGAGTTCCTTCCTAAAACATGATTTACTTATGCACTTTTGTTTGCTGTAGAGTTCGGATAACTTGAGATATGGTTTGTATTAACACCTATTTTCTTTTTTTCTTCATTTATGGATTATTTCTTATTAATTTTATATTGTTTCATGAGTACAGTATAATAAATGTCAGAGATTAGGTGTCTGTAATTTCATTACAACATGTTTTGAAATCACTGTCATCTTTTACTACATTCCTTCAAATATTTTACTTTAATTGCATTACTATCTTATGCTGATTGACTGTATTATATACCATGACATTATTTGTCAGTGACTTATAATTGTCATGTTATAGATTAATTAGCACACAAGGGAGAAATGAAGAATGTATCAGAATTTTAATAGGAGAACCTGAAAGGAGGTGATCACTTGGAAGACTAAGCAGAAATGGCAGGATGATCATATTGCGAATGTATGGAATTCCTTGCTTTTCTCCTGTTATTAACTTCACATGACATTATTTCAATTTATACAGAATATCTTGGCTGGAAGTGTCAAGAAAGAAAGAATAAATCTGAAGAGACTTATGGTTTCATGAGGGTACAAAGTACGTGAATGGTGACAGAACCCTTAAAGTTTACAATATTTTATATCCCTTGTTGCTTGTCAGGTGTTACAGTAATATTCAGTCTCTCACATCTATTTTCCAGCACATTATGGATGATCTGTGCTACCGCATTTGTGATGCTTTCTCTCTTCTTCTTCTTCTTCTTCTTCTTCTATGGCTCTCCGGTCTGTGTTCGGTCCATGGCCTCCTCAATTCACCTCTTCCATTCGGTCCTACTGTTAGGTCCGTATGTCCGAGGCTTTGATTGAGATTTCGAAACATCTTCCTTTTTATGGTGCAAGGTTGTTAGCCTTGCGACCAACCCCCAACCTGGATGACCAGGGTACCTGTCTTAGTCTGACCTCTCCACCTCGCCCAATCTGGCTAGGGAGGCCCTACCAGTAGCTCTTGGGGTCACTGAGGTACTCAAGCCCCACCACCACGACAAGGTGCGGGTACCATTAAGTGGGGATGCTTTCTCTCACTTTCTTCAAATATTTCAGTCTTTGGTACACAACATTATCATGAATTCCCACAAAAAAAGTGTAGTGGGTTGAGGTCTGGTGACCTGGGAGGCCACCAACTTTCAGCCCACCAGATGGGAAGTATTCATTTCAAGAAAGTGTATGGATTACTGGGTTTTGGAATTTGTCTGATAATCCAGATTGTAATATGCCATTGACAGAACTCTGTGGAAGAAAGTGTATACTTCATTGTGATGATATGAGGATGTACCATCATGTTTAAATGTTGATCCATGGTGAATTGGTCCAACAGCAGAATTCTCAATCATGACCAGGTTCACGTTTCCAGTCACTGTTGCCTTATGGAAGAAGTGATCAATGACATGGTCTTTCATCAGTCTACATCTTACATTCATTTTCATTGTGTCTGTTTCATGTTCCAGCACAGTATGAGAGTTCTTATACTCCCATATGTGGCAGCTGTGCTTTTTGGCTTTACGTCACAAGTGAGGTTGCCTTGGCTGAGAAGCCGACAATATCCAGATAAAATTGTTCCCATCAGTGCATGAGAGCATCTCAGATTTGGCCCTGAGTTGATGACAAGTTGACATGATGTGCTGATATAATTGGATCTTGTATGCATGTGGCCATTGTCACATAAAGTTGAATGGCGAAGCTGCAATTCCAAAATCACCGTTCTGATTGATTTGCATGGGCTACTGATGGTTGCAGTTTGCATATGTTCAGCTATCTCATGTATGACCCACCTCACATATTTTGCAATCTGTGGCACTAGTCTGTCAGTGGTCTGTCTCACAGCGGAATTTATTTATGCATGGATGCATCCAGATTGAAATCATGTTGGGCACGACATTGCGCATAACGGATTCAGTTCCTCTGAACACAACATGCTGTGCACCTTTCACCGTAGCTTACTCATGCTGCATTGTATAGTTTCTCCTGCCCAACAAGTTGCATTGCCTCAATTCCTGTGCCTGTTTTTCTGAACATGCATGAAGATGTAGGTGGCATTGTGAATATGGATTAATGACTTAGAGCAGTGGTCCCCATGGGCGCCATGGCTTTTTTTGGGTGCCTGCGTTGTTACGGAAAGAGGTTGTACTGAATAATGAAGGCTGTTCAACCATGAACATTAAAAAATCAAAGCACAGATCTCGACTTACTGATGCCCATCTTGACGATCGTTTGCGAGCAGCAATATCATCCTACACTCCCAAATTTGAAAAACTGGCCGATGAAATGCAGTGCCAAACATCACACTAACTTCCCACTTGAGTAATAAATAATTGTACTTATAAAATTACGTATTTTTGATCGCGTGGTTTCTCGTATCATTAAACGTCCTGTTGTTTTGCGTATTATTTGGTGACCATATCTTATTTGTCCAGAGAAAAGAAAATTTGGCTTTGTTAATTGGTTGGTGCCCACCACGATCTCATAAACTCTCAAATGTGCCCGTAGGCACAAAAAAGTTGGGGACCACTGATTTAGAGAGTCTATGCATTATTTGTGACTTGTTCCTTGAAGTTATCTCTTTACTGTGAAATGGGGAACATTTCTTTATTTGTACCAGTAGCCTGAACACATTGTGGACACACTTTTGTTAGCTGCGTATATTTCGTTTTCAGTGTTTGAGCAGTTCCAGACCATGAAGCCACTGTGAGCAACTTATGAATTCTTATAACTTTAATTTGCAGCTCCTGTTCGCTGATGTGAATAAGGTATTTTATGAAGAATATGGGCTGAATTTTTATACCAAGTGTCGCCGCTGCGTACTTGAATGATATGATGAAAAATGAAAGTCTTTAAGTTCTTGTTTTTATTTTTGTTACAGCGGTTTACACAGTACTTAGCCTCAAGCAATAGCACTTTTCAACTGAGCAACTTTCTAGACAAGAGCGGAGTACAAGGTATGTTTAAAAGAATTATTTTGTATTTTGTGAGTGTTAAAAATGTAGTTTATCTTGACCCCCTTGTCATGTAACTCCACAGGAGGGTACTGTGTGGTTGGGGTAGTGGATTGTGGTGTATTGGTATATGAATATACATCAGCAATATAATGTAGCATTTAATAAAGGCTTGTATCAAGAATAAGTAAAAGAGATAATGTGTTATCGTTAAAACTAAACAGTCCTAGAACCGTTTGCATTATGTAATGAAGTTGGTTGTCATGTTTTTTTATATTTGTTAAAAGATTACCTCATTTTTATTGATTATAATACAAATAAAACTTGTTAATTATTTGTGTTATATATACACACACACATTGTTTATATTGTTTTATCCTAGTTTAAATTAATAATGTTCTGAATTTTGAAACTGAGTTCTTTGTTTCTCTTACACCGTATGCATTAGGTACCCGTGTTGGTGAGTACTTGATAATAGAATATGTGTCAGTAATTTTTCCCATCTCTATATGGCATGAACCTAACTCCAGCATCTAACATTTAAGTATTTATAATTATTTTTCTTGAATGAAAAATGCATGCTTATAGTTTCCATAGGGAATGATGAGAACAAATGTAGTATCTCGTAGTCGTAGCTGCTGTCGCCAAATCAGAGTGCTACTTGCTCATAGTGTTGTAATGGATTGGCATATTGTAATTGCATGTATTTGCAGACTATGAATACTGATACTTGGGTAAACATTAATTCCAAAATACTGCTAATATGTATAAAAAAAAGTTACTATAATCACAGAATAACTATAGTTTAGAAATACATGTGTAAACCTGATAACATGCTTACATGACACAATGTAGTGAGTGGAATTAGTCTGCTATATGTAGTATTTCTAAAAATTTTGTGAATAACTTGAATAACTTCGTGTTAAGATTTAAGTTTTGCTTGATTTCTGATTTGTTCATACAAAAGGCAAGTGGATTTATAGGGCAGGAAGTATCCTCCTGTCCACATGTTTGATTTCTAAAGCTAATTTATTTCAGCTAAATGTAGGGTTAATGAGGAATGTGTACAGAATTTTAGTCAAAGCCTAAGAGTGGTATTCATTTGGGAGACATAGCATAATTGCAAGTATATTATTAAAATGGATCTTAAGGAAGTAGAATGGGAGGATATGGACATAATTTGTCTGCCTTAGGCTAGGGAGCTGTGGCAGGCTGTTATGAACACAGCAATCAACCTCTTGATTTTATGTCAGCGTGATCCTAAGCATTTTTTTGTAACATAAATAAAGGAATATTTTTAGTGATGGAAAAGGTGCGTTCCGTGGTTCGGGTGAGTTGCCTGTTGTACGTAGATCTTCAGGCTTGGATGTGCAGAACTTTCCTGTTATAGTTTGGATGCCAGTTATTATCAGAAATGTGGTGAGATGCACCATCATTAAGTAGTTGTCTTATTTCTCTGATGGATTTCTATCTGCTTTGTATCTAGAGTATAATGTAACTGAAAACTGGAAGATTATTTAAAATTAATACCCCTAGGATATTTACTGAGATGTTAAGAATGTTCCCTACTGTTTCCTGTACTTGTGAAGTGTGTTATGCTCGGCAGAAGTGTAATCACTTATAGAGGTGTCCCAACACATACTTGCCAAGTTTCAGGAGTATATTCTGCATGTTATTTGAGGCATAGAATATTCTCTGAAGTTTTCGAAAAAAATAATTTGATTTATCATGATCATTGAGATAAGTGGTAGTGTAGTTTAGCATACTTGCACCATTGTAATTTATTTATTTTCAATCTCATTGTTGTATTTGGTGGAATTGTTTCTCATTGTGCACAGTAGTTAATGCCTTTTACATTTGTACATGAAGAGTTCATGAGTAATATGTATTTTGTATATGGACTTTGTAATGTAAATGGTGGTAGTAGTAGGATGGCGACACTTTTTCCAGAAGTATATATCGTTTTGCAATATACACAGAATTTTGGAAGAGACTGATTTCTTTCCATGAGCAAATGGTGATTATAGCAGCATATGACAGGGAAGGTGAAGATGGCTGTCATCTGGGGTGTAGTGTCATGTAGTCTGGTAGAAGTTTACCAGCATTTCAAAGTTGCCTGCTGCTTCCATCATCAGAGTGATGAGATCACAGCATGTGTGTTAAGAATTAATGTCATCTTTTATCTGTGTATTAGGAAAGACTATGCTGAAAGGTTGTACCTTTGTACTTATGAAGCTGAAACATGTTAAACCCTTTTTTCCCCACATTCTGATTCAGTATGCATGTTTGAATACTGCATTCCTGTAGCTAAGATTTATCCTCACTTCAGTGTATATTATTAAAATACAAATGTAAAGTGCCGCTTATTTAGGGCTCAATTATCCATGGTCTCAGATTCGCTCTAATTTGTGATTATATTTTTCTTCAACTTTTAAAAAAATCATTTCTATATTCCTAACATGGATGATGATAATTCTAGTAAAATATAATTTTCATTAACCATATTTTTTTATTATCTGGGCCCTCCAATTACCACAGACAGTTGGTGCTCTGCTGTATTTTGTCCCTGAGAATGAAAAAGTTGCATGCTAATGAGCTTTATAATTTGTACTCTTCATCAGATATAAAATGGAATGAGATGGGTAGGATATGTAGCACACATGGGGAGGTGATAAATTAGTTCAGCATTTCATTTGGAAAGCCTGAAGGGAATAAACCACTTGGAAGAAAAAGGCACAGATGGAAGGAGATTATTACAGTGGATTTTAAACAAATTGGATGTAGGGTATACTAGATAGGGACCAGTCGCAGGCTCTTGTGAACACAGTAGTGAACAACAGATTCCAGAAAAGGTGGGGAATTTCATGATTGTTAGCTTCTCAGAAAGTACTCCATGGTGGTAATTTTGTCAGTTGTATGACTCAATGGAAGAAGTTAACTGTGAGCGAAATGGGATGTGCTGAGACTGGAAACTAATCACAGATTAATACCTGAATATGAAGGTAATGTTCTTATGTTATGTAATATTATAGATGAAGATATCCGTCTTCTGGGTTATTGCGCTGTGTAGTCTGGTCGATGTTAACCAACGTTTCAGAGGTCATACTGCCTCCGTCATCAGGGCGATGAGTTGTTTCAGAGTTCGATAAACTTCTACCAGACTGCACAGAGCAACAACCCAGAAGACAGCAATCTTCAGACTCACCGCTGTGAAAACCTCAAATCCTGTTTGATTTTGTCATGGGCAGTGCAG